ATTCGAATGATCGGCGTGAACATATTACAAGACCTAAAAAAAACATAATTACAATTACTAGTATAATTATAATAGATTCATAATTATAATATATTCTGTCCTAATATTACGCTTGATTATAACTAGGCCGGTTCAAATAGCTCACCGCAGGACAGTTGACTCTTGCGCATCCAGCAGGTATTTTTCGTGCAGGATCTTGTTCGTCGGCGGAAGGAAGGGCAGCACGACGGTCGCGCCGCGTACACGCCGCCATATCACGCAGCCATGTGGTCACCAACCCGCGTCCTGCCAGCCCGCGTCAGCCTTCACGCTCCTCGTTCGTAGATTGAGGCCAGATGTGTCGCCACGCAAACGCGTCGAAGATTGGCGTAGATGATCCGTGAAGAGCTTTGCTGCTGGTTGTAGGGTATAGGCGCGTCAAACGTGCTGTACCGATCGCCGTTTCCCAGCAGGTCGCTGACGCCGGTCCAGCGTCGGCACGGTGAGAAATGATGCGTCAGGTAGGCTGACGGGGAGCAGCGTCAGTGTGCAGGCCGGCCCGATGATGATGTCGGACGTGTCAGGTAGACTAGATCGCCCGCCAGCACCAGCGCAGGTCGTCGCGTTACACGCTTACCCGGCCCTGACCCTGTTAGTAGATTCTCATCGCGCCTCTCGTATATCACATTGTCTCTTGAGACGCAAGTCGCTATGCCGATGTCTGATGGCAAGGACTACCTCCTCAGGTCGAAAGTGCCGCGGGTTGATGACCTTCACGAGAATAACCCCCATTTGAAGGAACCCGCTGCATCGCGGTCACTAAGATAGGACGGGCAGTTGTGGAAGAGCCGACCTCCTAGCGGCTCGTCTGCGGAAACCCGCATGCGAAGACGCACCGCGAGCGGCTGAGACGAACAACATCGTCTGATATTTCGCGTTGATTTTCGTTAACAGAGAGAGCTCGCGAAATTTTCTTGTCGCACGCGATGACATTTCATCGCCACGGACGCGCTGTATGAGTGTACTGCTGCTCGCACGCACCGGTAGCGACTCAGCGAGTAAATCAGGCTACAATTGTCCATGCGCATAACCACGATTGCGGCATGCGGGTGCACGCGCATGCAATCAACAAATAAGAATATGGTGCCTGATTTAATTGACTCGAACGAGCTTTTCAGAATGGACGTCTTTCCTACTATATATATAATATCTGTGGCTAGTGTGTGTGTGGGCCGTGCTGTGCGTGCGTGGCCAGGCACGTCACGTGCTTGCGTGCGTGCGCTTGTTGGCGTGCGTACGTGCGCTGGTTGCGTGCATGCGCTACGCTGCGTGACTGTGTGTGTGTGGCTTGGTGTGTATGTGTGTGTGTTTGTGTGATGTTGTGTGTGTGTGTGTGTGGTTGGCTGTGTGTGTGATATGTACTGAGTGGTGTTGTGGTAGTGGGGCTGTGTGTGGGTTGTGCTGTGTGTGTGTGTGTGTGTGCCAGCTGTGATGTGCCTGGCCGGTGGTTGTGTGTGCCGTGCATGTGTTGAGTATTGTGGTGCGCGGGCCAATGTGGTGTAGCTTATTAAATATTCGCAATATATACGTCAAATCTCACACAAAGTGCCATACCAGGCGATGACATATTGCGATAGACTCTCATGTGATTACTACGGCCCGAATCAGCTTGCGTTACAATTTCTATCACCAGCGCCAAAAAAACTTTCATACCCAGTGCCTTTGATGTTACTACTTTACGGTATATAAATGACTATTAGACATTTATATAGATTAAATACCGCAAAAGCTCGTGATGCAGGCGAAATCCAGAGGGTGTGCGGCGTGATGCCAGTGCAAAAGCGCTGAAAAGCGACTCTGTCGAGGGGGTCGTGAGCATGGATCCACTCGGTGAAACTTTTGAAAATTTGCTCTTAAAAATGGTTGCCATTTTTGGTGCATTTTACAGTTTTCTTTTGTTGGCATAAAATTATACCTTAGCCCAACTATTAAAATAGTGCCCTAAGCAAGACAAAAAAAACAAAGATATTCAATAACACAAGTTGATTTTTTATCTTTTTGATAGTGAGGGATTCCGGAACCCTGCAACCCCCGCCTTGGGGTACGCGGACTGTGTTGGGGCCGCATAAATATGTCTATTAACAAATACGGTCGGCAAGATGCTGCACCATTGGATGATACAAGAACTTCAAGTAAGATACGTTCCTTCGCATTTGAGTGGTGTGGAGGCAGATTATTCGTATATTTTGTTAAAAGATAACAAACTCGGAAACGCGAAAACGAAATGTTTTTTCTCGGTGGTGTCGCTGCAGGCTCGTCACGCTCTGTAGAGTCTATGTCGGCCCACGACCTTCCACGACATATCTGCAGCTGTTGCTCAATTTGCTTACTTGCCTATTGCCCAGAAATTAATTGCCCAAAAGAAACGTAGATCGGCCGGATCAAAAATGCGGGCAGCGGAATCATTGGGAAGAGATTGCAATCGCCAGAAGAAAGACGGGAGAGTCAGACGGCTGCATCCAGCCCTCGCCGAACGCGAGCGACGGACCGGACGCCTGGACGTCCGTAATCAACAAAAAGCGGATAGCCACGACCAGACAAGCCAGCCGAGGGCAGCACATACGGCTCCCATCCATCCTGCCAGATAGGACAGACGTCAGATAGGTCAGCCGTCAGCCAACTAGAGGACCATAGAATATAATAGAGAGAGAGGAGGAGATCGAGACGAGAAGAGCAGAGAGACGACCGGATGAGAGCGGATGACGAGAGGAGAGAGAGAGAGAGGAGACGAGAGAGAGAGAGATACGAGATTTGTCGGATGAGAGAGGGCGAGAACGAGTCCAGGAGGAGTGAGCGAGTGCTTAAGGGTTTTGCTGCCGCTTCGTGTCGCGCTGTGGCGATCAGACGTACTTTAATAGAAGAGCAACGCGCTGATCATGGTCCGTCCGCCCCCCACTACAACATCACTGCGAGGCACTTGCGCCAGTTTCCAATATATATATACTATTTATGGAATATTTATTTGATTTATTTATTTACTTTATTTATACTACTATATATTAGGCCCTATACTAATAAATTATCGGTCCTAACGTTATCGTCATTCAAATACTTCGATCTGCCAAACATACTCAAGTCAAACTGGTCGACGCCGCACTGCCGGCTGCGCCACACACCTTTTACATACTTGGGTTGCATATAATTTTCATCTGTAATACTACTCTATGAACAATACTGGAGTTTGGCCAAGAACTGGGTCAACCGGACCAGAAATTTACGTTGATTAGTATTACCAGGCCTTATATACATAATAAGTATCAGGCGTGAATAACATAGCAGCACTCTATTATTCCTCCTGACTAATATACAGTTAAATATATTTGTGCCGCCCCTCACCCCCCCCCTGCCTTATATCAGTACCCATTAACGAAAATGGTTCATTGACAGGATTGTTCTCAGGTGCGGCATTGCACGAATCCGGCCTTATCACTTATCGTCACTAATTGTCGTCAAAACATAACTTATATCTATGGCTAAAGGTCTGATAATCAGATTAGCTTATTCCTTTGGCCAGAGATTGAGTCATAACATCGCTAATCTAAAGGCGTTGCAGAAGCGCATTTGATGCCAAAATGGATTATGACAAATATGTTTTTTTCTTCTTTTCATTTTAAAACATATCTTCCAGGCTTCTTATCCTTTATCTCATTCTTATTACTTTAAGTGCACTTGCAATAGAGATCACAGGGAAAAAACATAGTGTATTGTGCTGCTTGGCCTGCTGCGTTGTGGTCGGCGGTGGTGCCGGTGGTCGGTGGTCCGGCGGTGGCCGGGGTGGGCGCGCGGCCGGTTGGCAGGTCGGCGGTGGCCGGCGTGGCGGTGGCGTGGCCGGTTCGGTGGTGGTTGATAGTGTGTGGTGGTGGTGGTGATGATGTCATGATGAATGATGGTGGATGGTGGTGGGATGGTGGCTGGTGTGGGAGTTGTGGTGCGTGTGGTGGTGGGTGATGGTAGTGGTGTGCGTGGTTGGCTCCAGGGGTGGTGGGTTGGTTGGTTTGGTGGTGATGTAGGGTGCGGGTGGGTGGTGGTTGCGGTGATGGGTAGTGGTGCGTGGTGGTAGGCTGAGTGCTTGGTGTGGGTGTGATGGTGCGTGGTTGGTCGGTAGTGGTGGTGGCGGTGGGTTGATGGTGGTGGTAGGTGGTGTTGGTGGCTGGTGGGTGGCGGTGCGCGGCCGGTTGCGGTGGCGGTGGCAGGTGGGCCGGGTGGCGGGGCAGGTGTGGTGTGGTGATGTAGTGGTGGTGATGGTGGTTGGATGGTCGGGTGGTGGTGTCGGCTGCGTGGTGAGTGGTGGTGGGGTGGTGGTCGGTGATGGTACGTGGTGTGGTGAATGATGGTGGTGGTGGTGGCTGCGTGTGGTGGTGGTGGTGGTGGCCGTTGTGGTGGGTGCATGGTGGTGGTGGTCGGTGGTGGGAGGTTGGTGGTGGTAGTGGTGGTATCGGTGGTGAGTAGGCTGGTGGTGGTGGTGGGGGTGGTGGGTGGTTGGTTTGCGGGATGTTGTGCGTGCCGAGTTGCTGCTTGCTGCGATTGTTAGCGTTGTGATGGTGGTGTGGGGTGACGTAGGGGGTGGGTCGCTGCTGCTGGCTGCCTGGCTGCTGACTCGCGTTAGTAGAAAGTTCGTGAATGCGTAGGTGAGTGGTAAGTAGATGAATGGTGAGTGGTCGGTATGCGGCTGTGCGTGGTCTGGTGATGGGGTGGTGGTGGTCGCGTGGTGGTGGTCGTGCGGCAGGCGTGGGCGAGACTGCGGGTCAAGTGTCGGTGTGGCGGTGGTGGCGGCGGCGGTGTTGTGGTGGTGGTGGTGGTAGTGACGTGGCCGGCGGCGGTTGGCGGCTGGTGGTGAATGGTGGTGGTGGTGATTGGTGGTCGTGATTGGTGGGGTGTGATGATGATATGGTGGTGGTGGTGGTGGTGGTGTGGTGGTGGTAATGGTGCAAGTGGTGCGGTGACTGGTGGTGCACGGCGGCGGTGGTGGTGGTGGTGGTGGTGGACGGCCGACGCGTGGCGGGCGGCGGTGGGTGGCGGTGATGGTGGTGGTGGTTGGTGATGGTGGTGGTGGACTGGTGTGTGGTGGTTGGATGATGATGATGATGGTGTGGTGGTGTGATGGTGGCGGTGATGGTGGCGGTGATGGTGGCCAGGTGTGGCTGGCGGCCGGTTGTGGTGGCGGCCCCGGTGACCAGGCGGGCCGGCGCGGCGAGGTGGTGCGTTGGGTGGTGGTGGTGGTGATGTCATGGCAGGCGCGGTACCTGGCCGCGGCCGGCTCCTAGGGCGGGCGGGCGGCGCGGGGGCTGGGTGGCGGTGGCAGTGGCGGTGATGCTGATGGTCGGTGCGTAGGTGGTGGTGCATGAATGATTTGATGAATTGGTAGTCGGTGGTAAGTGGTGGTGCTGTGGTGGTGATGGTTGGTAGCTGTATGGGTGCTTGGTGGTGGTGGTGTGGTGTAGTGGTGCTGGTGAATGGTGGTGGGGTGGTGGTGGTCGGTAAGGTGCAGTGGTGGTTGGTGCGTGAGAGTGTGGATTGCGTGGTGGAATATTGGTGTGGTGGCTGGTGGTGTGTCGGTGGTGGTGTTGGTGGTGGTGGAGGTGGTGGTAGTGGAGGCTGGTTGGTGCCTGGTGGTGGGGTGGTTAGTGATGGTTGAGTGGTGGTGGTGGTGGCTGATGGGTTGGGAGGTGGGCGGATGGTGGGGTCGGGGTTGGTGGTGTAGTGGTGGTTGCTGGGTGGTAGTCGGTGGTGGTGGTGGTGGTTGGTCGGTGGGGTGTTGGTGGTGGTGGGGGTGGTGCGTGTGGTGCGTGGTGGTGGTACGTGAGGGTGCATGTGGTGGTGGTGGTGGTTGATTGGTGGAGGTGGTGGGGGGAGGTGGTGGTGGTGAGTGGTGGTGGTGCGTGTGTGGTGGTGGTGGTGGTGGGTTGGTGGTGGTGGTGGTGGTGTGCTGGTGCTGGTTGATGGTGGTGCTGGTGATGGTGCTGGTGGTGTGTGTGTGGTGGTAGTGGTGTGCGTGATGGTGGTGGCTTGGTGGTGGTGTGGTGTGGTGATGGGTGTGTCGGTGCTGGTGGATGGTGTGGGGTGGTAAGGTTGGTAGGTGGTGGGGTGGATGGTGGTGGTGGTGATTATTCGGTGGTGCGTGGCTGGTGGTGGTGGTGGTGGTGGTGGTTGGTGGTGGTGTTGAGTGTTGTGGTCGGAGGTGGTGAGGTGTGTGGTGGTGGCTGGCTAGTTGATTGGTGATTGTGGTCGGTGGCGTGGTTAGGTGATGGTGGAGGTGGTGGGGGTGGGGTGGTGGTGGTGGTGGTTCGGTGGTGGTTGGTGGTGGTGGTGCTGGTGGTGGTCGGTGTGGTGGTGGTGGGGTGGTGGTGGGTGGTCGGTGATGGTAGTGGTGGTGGTGGTGTGGTGGTGATGTTAGTAGGGTGGTAGTGGTGGTGCTGTGGTGGTGCTGGTCGTGCTGGTGGTGCTCGGCTCGACCTGGTGCTGCTGGTGTGGTTGTGGTGGTAGTGCGTCTTGGTGTGTGGTTGGTTGGTGTGTTGGTTGGTGGTAAGGTGGTGGTGGTGGTGGTTGGAGCGGTGTTGGTGGTGATATTGGTGGTGGTGGTTGTCGGTGGTGGTGGTGGGTGGTGGTGGTCGGTGGTGGTGGTGTTGCGTGGTTGAGTGGAGAGGTGGTGGTAGGGAGGGTGGTGGTGGTCGGTGGTTGTGTTGGTAGTGCATCGGTGATGGTGGTTGGCTGGTGGTGGATGTTGATGTTTGGAGGTGGTGGTGGTCGAGTTTGGTGGTATAGTGGTGAGTGGTAGTGGTGGTGTCGTGGTGCGGGTGGTGGTACTTGGTGATGGTGCTTTACGTGCTGGTGGTCGGCTGGTGGTATGGTAGTGATCGGTGGTGAGTTATTTGTGGTGTGTGGTCGGTGGTGGTGCTGGTGCATGGTGGGTGGTGGTGGTGGTGCCATGGTGCGTGCGTGGTGGTCCGGTGGTGCGTGGTGGTGGCTGGGGGGCGGTAGTGGTGTGTGGTGGTAGTGGTGTGGTGGTGGTGGTGGTCGCGTGAATCAGGTGTGGATGGTGTGGTGGTGCGTGGTGATGCTGGTGGTGATGGTGGTGTTGGTGGTGGTAGTGTTGGTGGTGGTGGTGGTGGTGGTGGTGGTGTTGGTGGGGCTGCTGCTGCTGCTGATTGTGGTTGTGATGGTGGTGGTGGTGGTGGTGGGGTGGTGCTGCTGCTGCTGCTGCTGCTGCTGGTTGTGGTTGTGATGGTGGTGATGGTGGTGGTAGTGGTGGTGCTGGTGGTGGTGGTGGTGGTGATGGTGGTTATTATTGTCATCATGTGTTCGTATTGCCGTAAATTTCGGTTTACGAAAATTAGTGTACTGACTGCTATCTGTAATAATTATGTGTTTCCCCGCCTGGAAACTAAAAATCATTATATTATATTATATAGCGGGACACTACATGTGCACACATGTTCTATGCTAACACGCAGCCCTGCTTTCCCAGCTATTCAGTCAGGTAATGTAAACTGACAGCAGCACAACTGCGGAGATTCGCGTGCCCAGCGACGCAGCTGTGTGGCTTGGTGTGCGGAGGCTGACGGCGTCTGCAATTATTGACACAATAGTCCTATTCGCTAAGTTATCGGCTATTTCGCTTTTTCATTACATAACGGAGAGGAGACACCGGGACCCCGACACTCTGGTAATTTACCGGAGAATCTTATTAAGTGTATCTAACCCATATACAGCGTCAATAACGCACGAAGGGTCGTTGTCGTAACAGGTACTACAGATATGTACCCGAGGTAATTTTAGGTTGTTTAGTATTATGTTTATATTTTTATATGAGGTATGTTTAGGGTTAGGGTTAGGGTTAGAGTTAGGGTTAGGGTTAGGGTTAGGGTTAGTGTTAGGGTTAGGGTACACTTCTGTAGTACAAGTCTGGTACACTTTGTGTATACATATATGTACCTCGGGTACATATCTGTAGTACCATGTTACGACAACGACCCCTTGAGCGTCAATAACAGGTACGACCTATATTTGGAATTACATAGGCAAACACGCTGTCGCCGATACATTGATGTGACAAATAAATTAGCAAGTTGATCAGTAAGGTATGTGAAAGAGAGGTAATGAGAGAGGGGCGTGTGGGGGAGAGGGGCGCGAGAGAGCAAAATAGAATTACATAAGAATAAGCTCTATTTTAGCTCAGTTGAAACAATCTGATGCAGCTTTTATAATGACAAGAGTGTCAGTCCGTCCATAAATTAAATATCAATTAAAAAGTTTTAAATATCATTAATACAACATTATATACATACGTACGTACTATACAAACTATTGTAAAATAACTCATAGAAATAGACAGAATTGCAACCCCCAAAAAAAAACAGAAAACAAACTCGACTCATGTACGCCAGCATCGACTTATGCACCCATGCATGATGCACTTATGCACGATTCACGCTAGGATGCAACGTAACCCCATGTAACCGCGCAGTTACTGAAACGCTAAATGCCACAATGACTGAAACCTACCGTACACAGGTACACCACGGCCTGAAATAATCCATCGGTCCTATACATAGACAAACAAGCTACTGAATCATCTAGCTGACCGAAAGAAGAATGACACGAATCAACATGTTATGCGTGCGTGCTGCAATCTATGTGTGTGCACTGTCACGCGAACGGGCGACCACCAGCATATTTCAATTGATGCTAGGATTGATCGATTCAAGTTAGTCAACATGTGCGACAAATATTCAACATTTGGATTTCCACCGGTAATTGTCCTGCAGCCTCATTTTCGATTTTTGCTGCTGGGTTGGTGAGGCGGTATATATACGATATGCTTGTGGGCAGAAGTGTCGATGATGTGAGTAATGGAAACTGCTTATATGCCAGCACCCAAATCCAACTAAAGAAAAATCTGCAGAAACACGACGATTAGACCTGTCGTATTCCGCGCCAAAAGTTCTTATGTCGACTGCCAAACATGGTCGCGACTCGGCCGATGCAACATCGTTTTGCGCAAATAGTCGCATAATGGAATGATTGCGGGAAAGTGTTTTCTATGGTAAACTCACCTATCGTCAAAGAACGAACAGTCACTTGCATTTTGATTTTATCTCCGTCGGTCACTCGCTTTCTCCTTATTATTATTAGTGCCGACTTTTATATCCCCACACCTAGAATCCCTACACTAAACAAATACAACTAGGCCTACTTAGCACCAGAATGTCAGACTAGACCATTAATGCTCCTAGACGTATCGCAGTTAGGCTTTCCTGTCTTTATATCCGCCTGTCAGTCTGTCTCGCTCTGTTTAGCTTGCTTCGGCTCCTTCTCGAACTTATTCTCTCAATTTCACCTTCTCCCTTTATCTCGCTTCCTCCTCTACAGCTCAATTTCTTTCTTACGGCTATTCGTGGCTTATTATATGGAGCTATTATATATCGTGGCTTATTATATATGGAGCCTGTCCTCTTCTATCTGCCTACAGGGGACGCGATGTGCTCGCACTACTATGAAAAGTCAGCCCCCTTATTCTCCGTGTCTTCTCCCTATTTACCTCCGGTTCCTATCCGTTACACTCCCGTTTTAGTTAACGCATGCTCAATATATGCAAAACAACTAATATATTGTAGAAATTAGTGTTTTAGTGGTGACCGAATACTCCCTAGCTACTAGTTTCGTGCGAAAATGGTACACACCAGTTACCTCCTGTTTCATTGCGAGCGTTCGCCAATAAGACTACTGGATACTTCAAATAGTGCAGTTACTATAGAGAGATTGCATCAATAATGAATTTGTCCCAGATACCCTACGTTCATGGACCATGTAATTTTTACAGTGTAATTTTTAAAATGAGGCAGTGTGATAGAAAATTATATATTAAACCATGCTCGGGTACTCGCGGTCTATACTTTCTCATTTACAGTTTTAACAAAATGTTGATTTGGTGTATGAGAACTAGTCCAGCGGATAAGCACAGAAAAATCTACTCTTCAGATTTTGGCTATAATTTCAATATTACTCATCCAATCTATTCAACGAATAGCTCAAATTATTTGTGGATATCTATACTAACACTATAGTAGCAAGTTATTGAGTGTAGCTATGTTTAAGTTGTAAAAAATTACGTCGAAACAATGAAATGAGTTAAAAGTAATAAAAAATGTCCTTCCTTAAACATATCAAAAATGCTCCAGTCTGCATGAGCATGCTATATGTCAAAATGTCCATTTAGTAGGCAAACGCGTTATGTAAACAAAACTACATGCATCGTAACCAAACAATGGTGAAAGATCAATCGCGCACCCCCCCCCCCCGGGGGCACAATCAGTGCCGCCGCACCGATGCCAGGCGCGTACGCAGCCACGATGTACCCGCTAGTACCCGCTAGGACGATGTACCGCGTTTCGCGGGCTGCTTTTTTCGGGAGGGGACCAGCACGTGTGCTTGCACAGGGTTGACAGCGGCAGAGTGGGTTGCAGTCCGCTGGCTGACTGCTTGCACAGGCTGACAGCACGTGTGCTTGGTAACGTCCGATCTATAATATTGGCTTTGCTCGCAGCATCACGCTCTGGGTTCCCCGCTATGCCGATATTAATGCACGTGCAGAATGATGGCGCTCGTGTGTCGGTTGCTGCCATGAGAATCTTCTTCGGCCGCTCTCATACGTTCAAACTACGTGTACGACCACAGGCACTTGAAGCGTTTCAATAAAATATAATGCTAACTAAATACGAAATCTATTTACTTAGTACAAAATTCTTAATGTTTCTATACTATAGGCCTACTCTCTTTCACCTATTATCGCCGATAGTTTCCTACCATTGCATTACCGGCTGCCATTGCTCTCGCGGCGCAACTGTTGCACGCTGGCACTCTCTGGCAACCCTAACCCTACTCTATATATTAGTGCAAGCGTGCAACAGTCGCGCCGCGAGAGCAATGGCAGCCGGTAATGCAATGGTAGGAAACTATCGGCGATAATAGGTGAAAGAGAGTAGGGTTAGGGTTAGGGTTAGGGTTAGGGTTAGGGTTAGGGTTAGGGTTAGGGTAACATTAAGAATTTTGTCCGGCTGCTGCTTGGTGGGTAAACGTTAGGTAACGTTGCGATTATGGCTCTGTTGGCCTATCTAATTTCACCTGTGTTAAAGGAGTCAACGCGTGCCGTTCCTTTATAACGATATATATATAGATATAATATCGTCAATAAAATATATTATATATAGTGCCCCCCACAGTGCCACACCCTCTTCCAGCTCGGTCGCTCCGCTTCCTCGCATAAATACTCAATGTTGGCAGCCCTGCATTCGCACTCGTTTCATACTTCGCCGCTTCTACACTTACTCCAGTGCATGTTCTGACTACTAATCTTTACATATTAACTTAATTTATTGATTTTGTTTTCTGGTAAATTATTAATATTAACTTTATTATACTGTTAATATAATAAGAGATGAGTGGTTCTGCAACAGTCAATTTTTATTTACAATCGCGCCGAGGGAGGGCAGCACTTGTAACAACATTATCTCACGAGCCGGCTTTGTAAAGATGGCAGCCTCCACGAAGACAGATATTCGTTCTGCATTAACAAATCACGGTGGCTGGACAAGTTTATTAACGTTTTGTATCCTGACACTGGCATGGGTTGCAGGATTTAGCTCTAGGCTTTTTGCTGTGATACGTTTCGAAAGCATCATACATGAATTCGATCCATGGTAAGATTTTAATAATCAGATTTACTCATTTAGATTAGAACTAGAACTAGAAGTTAGAACTTAGAAGTAGAACCGTAGAACTAGAACTTAGAAGTAAAACAAAATATATTCTCTTCTTATGTACTCCAAGAAACGGCCATACATGGAAAGACGTGAAGATGTGTGTATGCGTTAGTCTCGCAACCTTGTGGGGATATTCTGTACTTAAAGTTTTAGACCTTAATCTCAGCTTCTGTACAACAGTTCCAGTTCCTGGGGATATGAAGTCCTGCTATAGGTGGGGGCGGACATCCGGGAACTTTTGACTATTTGACCGGATGTAGATTCGAGCCGATGAAAACAAACCGTAGTAATTAACGCACCGCTCAATGCACGCAGCGCATACTAGTGCCAAGGAATTATGTGGTGTTTGGATGCCGCAATCACAGTCTTTCAAGTGACAAAAAACGATCATTCTTTGACCTACCGTAGCCCGAGAGGAGAGACAGATGGCTAACAGCAATTAGTCAGGAGAACGAAGACGGCGTAGCAATGGTGGGAAACAGTGGGTAACGGGCGAGTAGTCTCGCTGAAAAGCAGTTTTTTGCACACTTCCTGTGAAGTCACATAATGTTTCTCGGTCGAAATGAACAAAGAAGACCTTTAAGAACACCCCTGTCGAGTTTAAAGGGGCTACTCCCACATTTACGGAAATGACATAGGTCTCAATCTGGACATCATCTCTATTCTTGAACAGCAGCGGCTCCATTCGGGCGGTGTCTATATTGAAGCCGGTACGGGAGATTACGGTACGCATATATTTGCTAATATATTGACTAATCGTGCGTCAATAAACTCAATATTCACAGAGAGTATAGCTAAGACATGTGTCTATAGCGAATTTATTCTGCATAGCAACGCGAAGCGAGTGTCACAGGGAAAAAAATACACGGAAGCGACGAGCGATTTCGCTCTGGTAAGCTCCAAAATCACTCTGGTAAGAACAATAACGGGAGCGATCGCCCGAGAGAAAATCGCTCCCGTGGCCTGATAAATTGAAATGTACACAAGTACGTAAGTACAACGAGCGCTACATATACACCGTGCATGCAGCAGCGGCTTAAGCTGGGTTTACACTGACGATTATATGCAGTCAAGTTGGCGTTTTTCTTCTTTCTACCAATCTCTATATATATATATATTCAAAGCTCTTACGTTATCGACCGCGAGGCGGCAAACGTTTCGACATTTGACCCGTAGCGCGCGCGCGGGGCGACGCGGATACGCATTTTTGCATGTATTACATGCCGCCAGCGTGGCGCCTAAAGCAAAAACGTGCTCTCCCCCTAGGGTGGAGGTACACACCCCTGATTGCTGTTGTCTGATTGGCCACTTGGCAAAAAAACGTCCAACTCGCCTGCTCCGAGTTGGGGAAATTAGAACATGTTCTAATCTTTCGACTCGCTGCTATTGATCGGTTGGACGTGCGACTTTTGCGTTTACACTGGCAATTGTCAGTTGCCAAACTGCCAAGTTCGTACAATTCGGCAACTCAAAATCGTCAGTGTAAACCCAGCTTATGTATCCGCTGCAGCTGGCGCTGGCTAGATCAACCCGCTGACGCATAATAAAATACAATTGATAATAAAAGTTATACAACAGAGTATAGAACTAGAAACTGTTGACACTTTCATTCATATTTAAATTTAACTTGACATTGAACTGAACACTGAATCCAGCTCTTGTCTTGTATTAATCTGCAATGATGTGGTTACAATTGCATTCATACATTGTCTGTTGAAACTATGAATGACAGTCAATGATAAACTATGCTGACAGATGTGATGTGATGTCACAGACTCACAGGCACACATCTCTGTGAGACTGTGACAAATTAACCGTGTACTTTCTTATTTTAAGACTGAAAAAAGAAACAAACAACTGCACAGTGGTATTTTTATATAAAAAAAACATTTATTTGCATCCAAACGAAAAGATAACGTGGTTCATACTGTATGCTTATTACAGAGTAACAAAACAATAAGCAATCTAGAAGTAGTGACTAGTGAAGCATGGGTACATGTAGAGAGAGAAGAGTGAGAACTGAGAAGGGGAGTGGTGGACAGAATGGTAGTATGGTACTATGATTGAACTTAGAAGATGGGAGAGGTCAGAGGTGTCGGAGCCTCGGAGGCGGCATTGGGAATGCGAATGGATTCAAAGAAAGTTTGGATCAAGTGTGATTAGTGATATGTAGTAATGTAAATCTAATTATAGGTACATGTATTAACAGAAAATTTGACACACTCATGGAATTAATAATACATACAATTTACATTGATGTCCCCATCCCATTATATTACGTATTTTTCGAAAGTTTGAAACTATGAAAATGGCTCTGGATACATAAAAAATGGCTCTGGTAAATTTTTGACAAGTCAGAAAAATGGCTCTGGTGAAAAAAATAGTATTTTTTACCCTGGAGTGTCATGACTCATTAAAATATCCAAAACAAGAGAACAATCACCACTTGTAAATGTTTGTTAGCTCATCTGACGTAGTCAGATGCAGCTT